TTAAGGGTCCAGTGTGTACCATTTAGGAGGATCTGTTGGCAGAAATGGAATATAATAATAATATAAATAATTTTTTCATTAGTGTATAATCACCTGAATATAGGACTTGTTGTGTTTTTGTTACTTTAGAATGAGCTGTTTTTATCTACAGTTGCACGGGTCGCTTAATATGGAGTCCACCATGTTGAACAAGCCATGATTCTACAGTAGCCGGTCGACGTAGTTTCTCCTTCACGGTTGGAAAGGGAGGGTGAAGCGAGGGTGTCTGTAAGTACAACACTAGATGCTACTAAATCCTACACACTGGACATTTAATGATAGCTTTTTTTGAAACTTTAATTTTGTTGAACATCACAAAAATAATCACACTACTTAATAAACTGAGTTTATACAGTTTATTAAGTACACCTAGCTAAAACTAATGTAGTATAATAAGAAAGTCCTACAACAGTGAAAACTCCCTTTGTAAAGGTTATAATGCTGTAAAGCTTTTAATGAACCTGTTTACAGATTCTATTATATTGTGTTTTATTGACAGGTGTTTCTATTATTTTGTCCACTGCACTTACAGTACAGGGCGGGAAGGCTTCATACTTAAATATCAAAACATAAATATGTAATTGAATTGAATTGAATTAATTAGCTTGTTCATAATAATTAATTTGAATGATACAATGTTCATATGATCATTATATGATTCTGCTGAAAGTCAGTAAATGATGGTATTAATTTTTCCCCTAGCTCTAATAGATCGATAGCCAGTAGTTAGCTAAAGATCAACTTTTTTTTTGAGCGATGTTTAGTGGTTGTGCTGGCACCTCTATTCTCATTCCTCAGTTTCCTCCTCCATTACAGTATCTGTCGGGTCTAGTGTTTCAGAGACATCTGCTTCATGCCCAGCCCTGGATGTGTGTGTGTGTGTCTGTGTGTGTATGCATGTGGCTGTGTGGGTTTGTGTGTGTCTGCTTGTGTGCATCCGTGCATGTGTGCACACAAGGGAAGACGGCTGAGTCTAATTGCACAGGCCCATCTGCTGATTCTGGAAAACAGGCTTGACTCTTACAGACACAAACAGTACAGATAAAAATATACAGGCACAGACAAACACACACACACACACACGCCACAAGTGCCTGCCTCAAAGCCTTCAACTTGGACCCTGGACAATCTGCACCCTTTCTCAGGCAGCTGTATGGACGGCATTGACTGGCATGGTTTACAATATGGTCTCTATTGTTTTAAGACAAAGGCCTCTCCACTCAATGCAAAGGTCACATTATAAGACAATAAGCCTGTGTTTATGGGGGGTGATGATGGGGGGGGTGGATGGCATCAGGTGCAATTTATGTGAGGGCTGCTACAGCTGGAATTTTAATTATTTATATATAAAGTATCTCTTTAAAAATAACTAGAAGTATATATTTTCTTTTATTCTGGATTCAGTCAAAGAAACAGAAAATTATACATTTCTTCAAAAACTTTCATTGATAATAGTTTTAGAAGTAGATAAGACCTAGAATTTCTTACATATGGTATGAATGCACCATGTCCAGATAAGCATTTATCTGCTTATAGGTCCATGCATATGTGCACTGCCGTGTGACTCACTTTACATGTAATTGTTGTTTGACCAAAGAAAATAATATGGATTGTATTTCAATCTGCGCTCTCATTAGTAATGTGGTAAATTAGGAAGGTTATGTGTTTGTGCATGTGGAGCGGGAAACATCTGTTTCACACAGAAAAAAGCACATCCCCCACATGAAGAATGATATATCCCCTTTCCTGTTGTTCTTTTTTTTGTTGTTCATTGTCTCAGTGAAATAAAGACACAATGTGAGTCTTGATATCACAGAACTAGATTTCAAAGCAAGCATTCAGAGTCATATGAGAGTCAAGGAAGGAAAGCATGGGGTAAAGGAAGTGTACAGGAAGTGTTTCAAAATGGTAACACAAACTCAAACCTCACACACACACACACACCCACACACACGTACACACCACATACATGCATACACAAAGATTATATCATTAAATAAATTAAAACAAAGAAAATATAGATATAATGAAGGTAAACTAGCCTCAAGCTAAAATAAAAACAGGAATTTGAAATAAAAAAACATGAATTAACCACAGGTAAGTCAGATAAAGGTTGTTTAAAAAATAAAAAAACTCTATGAATTATGTCTCCAAACTACTCAATCTTTTGATACTCACAATGGATATTTTGAAATTACTTGTGCCACACATGTCCTTGTGTATTTCTTTAAATGTTTTAATTAAGTGGTAGGACGCTTGAGTGAAATGACCTTGGCCATAAAATAGATAAAACTTAACTAACTACATAGCAAACTGCCAACCCACACAGAAAGAGAGAGAAAGAGAGCACCCTCATTCACATTACTCTCAGCCAATTCAATCAATTAAAAATAGGATCCCACATGAAAACATGGCCTCAGGGGTTTTTATACTGCAAACATACAACATTTTTCTCCTCTCAGTGAAAAACTGATGTCCACCGGGGATACTCTGACTAGCTGTCAATACCCAAGAACTGCATCCTCCTCTATCATCAATAAATTGAATGTGCAATTCATCAGCCCAACTCTAGGAGACAGTATTTCTAATTAAAAAGGAGCTCGTAAATTCGACATTTTACAGGCCCAGCTCAGCTTGTAAATACACTGTAAATAAGTTGTAGTGAGTGGCTTCATGTGCAGATTAAGGTCTGGGTTTGTGGTTTAACTCCTGTTGATGCCTTCATGGAACAGCAGGATGATTGCAATTAATTTGATGTTTGTTTCATTTTTGTGCTTCATTTTATTCTCTTTGAAGCCGACAGCACAGCACACGTGCACTGTCTTTACACTACCTATTCAGTTCTATTCTGTTGTTGCATTTGCTGCATATTGCATGCTGTTATGTATTCTTTTTGAAGCTCGGTGGGTCATATCTGATTGGATTAGCAGTTTGAGAGGATGCATTTGTTGGGCCAATTAGAGCACTTCCTGGCACAGATGGAACCCTGAGATCTCCGGGGAGAACACTGGGTCATATTTGGGTTCTAGAAAAGCATATTGCATACTGTAGAGTCGGCAAAAACAACACACCAGGTGTGTGTATATATTTGCAAGACCATTTTCCAGGCCTAAATAAGCCTCCTGTTATTAAAAATTCAACATCCTTGGTTAAATATGTTTAAAATTATTATAGGGTGATATACTGTGTATTCAAACTTGCAGACACACACACTTACGGGCACACATATTCTTACCTGTTATAGTGTACTTTGCTTTGTGAAAGTGAAATGAAACCCCAGAGAATCACATCTCAATGGCAGCTGGACGTCCTGGTCCTGGAGAGACAGAAACAGAGAGGAGAGAGAATAAGAGAGAGACAAAAAGGCAAAGAGAGAGAGAGGGAAAGAGAGAGAAATGCAGAGGGGTGGGGGTTATTCAAGCTCAGTGAACTGAAGTCCCTGTCATTTTTCACAATAGAGATAGATAGCCATAATATGTAGTGAATGTGGGGTGCAATGTGAATAATGGCCCCCTCTAGATTGTGTGAATAGCCATAACCCACTCAAACACAAGAACCAGACAGTTCACAAGCCACTTTTGCTAGTGATTGCTTGTTTAGTGTTTGTGTGTCTTTGTGCGCACATACACATGCACGTGTGTGCTCTGCCTCGTAATGACCTCTTAAGTGTCAGGGTATCAAAGTCTATAATGGTCTATCTCTGTGCTCGCTGGCGGTTTACAGCTAAAAAGCTCTCTCATGCCATGATAACTGGTTTATATGGGTGGCATTTCACTGCCAAATGCCAGAGACGTTTTGCAGAAAGGGAAATTGTTAGCTCTGTTACTCGAACGCAGTGTGGCAGTTATTCACTGTTAGAATGTCTCTTATATCTTTCTGTATCTGTGCCTGGTCTCCTTTCCCTACCTCCCTCTGCATCTTCCTATTTTTTCCAACACTATGTATTTTTTTTTCACAATACAGCTCGCCCCAACCCCCATCCCCAACCTCTTCTCTCTTTACTTTGCAGCCTCATCTTAACAGGGTCAATCTCAACGTGAGTTTGTGTATGCACCTCTTGGCATGCAAACTGTAGTTTTTGTGCATTTTGCGGTTTACTGGGACGGCTGATGGGGCCGAGGAAACTGCATATATCTGCCTGGCCTTGAATTTTTAGTCTTTGTCTGCACGCCAAGCAAGATTTTTACAGGTGCACAAAAACAAGTGCATCAACACACTGCATTACACATACACACACACACACATCTATACAGTGTCAGAGCCTCGACCTCTGTGGAGCTCTCCGGCAGGGCTGTGCAGTAATTGGGTATATTAGCCAGTACAGGAGGCCACGAGCAATATTTCTATGGCTGGGTGGGCAGAGACTGCAACAAAAGATGAATTCACTGTACCGTGTTTGTGTATATGCATGTGTTTGCATGTATTTATATGTATGCATGTGAATGAGTTAATACCCCCAGTGTTATATGTGTATGCATGCACTATAATGCAGGAGAATTGCCAAAGCAACAGAGCATTGGCGAGAAATAAGTTAGGCACTGAGCTCCCCCACCTATACAGCACCTTCATTCATGTCTCGCTTGCCTCTCTCAGAACGCAGTATACATTATTCACACTGAGCTGGTCAACAATGGAGGGATCAATGAATGAGGAATGGAAGAAGAGAGGTGGAAAAGAAGCAGGTATGGATGAACAAGCGAGGTGGTGGAGGAACAAGTTTGTATTAGGAGCGGAACTAGGCAGGGAATGAGATTTTTCATTAGGACTCATTTACGTGAACAAGTGGAAAAAGGGAAGGAGAAGATTAAAGATGCAGCCATCACAAAAGTCCATGCATACATCAGCGGTGCACCATCGCTTTGTTCTATCCCAGAAGAGGAATTCTTCATTAAATTCTACTTTGGTTCTGTTTTCTGCCATCAGAAAGCACAGGGCAACAGTTTTCCAGGGAACAGTCTGGAAAGCTGCAACTGAAACTGCTATTTTTTGCTTTTAGACACACCAGCCCAGAATCACTAGGAACTACTTTCATTTTAGGTGATTGCACACACAATCTATGTCTAGTGCTAACATTTAGTGCTGTTGCAAGAAATAGTGTGCCGTTTAGCAAGGTGGGAAGTAAGGATAAGGTTGAGGTGGCGATAGGCATGTAGAGCATTCATCTTTAATACGGGAGCCCGTAGTTAATGTATTGCTATAGGCTTGCAATAATTTTTAACCAACACTTAACCAAGAATTTTATTTCCCAACCTTAACCATATGGTAGTTGTCATTCAGAGATATTGTAGCAAGAAACATTGGTGCTGAAGGTTAAAAAAAAAAACATTGAAATATAATCAAAAACAGTGAATATAATTGTTTATATTCGTTTTGCAGAATCATCTCATATCAACATTCTTGTGTTCTGACCTAAGGTGGAAAAACAGGCAGCTCGTTCTTTAAATGTATTTTTTGTTGCTGCTGCTGTTGAACATTTTGCTTACCATGTCAACATCTCAATAATGTCTATATTGATATTAACAGATGGCTCCAAAATTCCAGTGAATCTGTTGCCTCCGCATGGGTCAATTGCATAATTTCAGGTCTTCCATACTTTTTTCAGTAACCATAGTAGCTGGCTACCATTTTGAAAGAAGGGTTAAGATTTAACAATATCTGAGTTAGAGGAGATAGAAGCAAGATTTTGATCAAATGAGTGAGGCTCCTCTGAGAGCAACCAGCAAAGGAGAAAAGACGAGGAAAACAGACAGAGAGATTTAGATGGGAAAATGGTGAACGATTTCACTACAGTGAGAGCTAGGGAGGGGCACTGGCCGAGGGGGTTTTGGATGGCGAGTGACTTAGCCTGACTGAACAATGGATGGACGTGATGAGTAGAAGGAAAAACTTTTTTTTAATTCTCAGGGCTCAATGTCATCCTAAAAAAACTGAAGAGATTCCCCATGATAGATGCTGACCATTTTCTCACAGTAAAACAATGGTGTTTTCTATTATGAGAGTCAATGGTTGTATTGATGTCCCATGTCACCCCTATTACTCATGAGCCTGCTGTATGTAATTAGGATGACTCTACAGTATGCTTTCATGATGGTTTTTGTGTATTACCCTTTATAATTATGCCTCAAACAACAGATTGCGCCATAAGACACCAGAAATGGTGTTGATGCCTATTGGTGGAGATTTATGGCGCTTCCAAATGAAGCAATGAGACGCCTTACTTTAAAGGGTGGAGTCCCCTATATGTTCATGTTAAAACCACACTTCTCCCCCCCTGGGCTTCGACAGATTCGATATAAGCATGAAGAATATGGAGCTATACTGTATATGGTCTACCCAGGCGTAAAATTAAAGACTCTTGTCTATGTGCCCCACATAAATCTTTGAAAGAGGGAGAGAGAGAAAATGAGAGAGTGAAAAAGGGAGGTGATGAGGAGGGGAGGTCTACATGATGAAACAAAAAACTGGTTGATTTGTCCAGCGATTGTGAACTGTTTAACTGTACTCTGGACAATGAGATGCTTCAATACATGGGTGCACACACACACACACAAAGAAAAAGACACACATCAACATATATCATTGTAACCATAAAAACATCTTACAGTAATTGCTTGACATGCATGGGTTTTATACAAAGATTGGCTTTAAAATCCCAAACATCATTTATAAAAGGCTTGCTTCAACACACCCTCACTCTAGAATAAAGGTCCTCGTCCAATTCCCTCCATTTCATCTTGATACATGATGGATACCATCTCATCTATCATACATATACTGTCTACACGAGAGCCAATCAGGGGGTTCAAAATGCACGTAAGTACACTGCAGGAGAACAAGCGAACGATTTCTCACATGGTTAGAAAACAGTCCATGTAAGTTATTGCTGCAGGCCCACAGGCCAGAGTGGTGCTCATCTGTCTTTGTGTGACACTATCAGACTCCCAACAAAACACAGAGGTGGTAAAATGGTTTTATTGCAAAATGTGAAAGATACGGTGGGGACAAATTGACGGGTGCTGATACATGCCAAAGGGGCATGGTGCTTTTATCTCAAATGAGTTGCATTGTCCTTAAAAGAAACTGAACCACATAGCTTATTTTAGAGTCAAATGTTGAGAATGTAAGATAGCAGATTTGTGCAACGTTTTCATTATTCACCAGATAGTCAAAGGGGATTTAACCTTAGGCAGAGTAAGGTGGTATATTTACACTTGAGACAAGGCTAGTCAGCTCGATAACATGGGGGAAAAACACAAAACAGCGCAAATGATGTAAACATACATTATCAAGCCATTGATCACTACTATGTCTGTTAATATCTTTGTTCCATCAAGCATGACCATCTAGTCATTCTCGCCCTCCTTCAGCCTATCACACTGCACCATCAACTAAGCTCCAGATCAATACTCCCTGGCACATATTCTCACTCTCAAAGCCTTGGAATGAAAACGCCATTCGATATCAATCAAGATCACAGCTGTGCCACTGAACAGGCACAATAAATGACAATATTATTATTTTTTGAATTTACCATCAAATGACCAGTCGCATCAAGGCGCTTCATGTTAGATCTTTCAGCCTGGTTTATGCTGAAAGGAACCAGATGAACAGGGAGTGGAAGATGTATGTAATGCAGTTAAAGTAAAAGCCCAGTAAGCAGGAAATTTAAGAGGGGCCTGGGGATGATGGTATTACAGCAGACGCTGATTGTGGACAATCTGCTGAAGAAGGGAAAGATATGGAAAATATCATTGGATGCAGTATGGTGGATAAGAGAGCCGTGCAAACACTTGAAAAGCTGAGAGGAAGGAAACGTCGCAACTATTTAACAATCAAGGAATCTGTCATATTTTAAAGTGATCATTCAAAATGAAAAAAATTAACTGTTGTTAGTTGAAGTAAACAGTACTCAAAAAACAATGTCACTGTAATGAAACCAGAAATCCCCTTCCATTGTCTCAGTCACTGAAGTCAACCAACCCAGTCCTTTATTTGCAACATTGGATCAGTCTTTTAAACAATACTGCATTTTCAAGTGCTGTTGTAGTTTCCTCCATTGATAAGAAATGCTGTGTTATACCAAGGCACTGGGAGATTTATGCCCCCAGCCCTGTGATGACCTCATTGTTCATTGCCCCATAATTCAAATCTGCTCCGCTGTGTTGCATCACATTGTGTATGACTCATTTCCAAGCACCCCATTCTCTAAACAAGCGAGACCTCCTCAGCACGCTATAGTTAACCGCACAAACAACACAGCAAAGAATTTCCCCATCAATACTGCGGTGACTGACTTAAGACTTGCATATGGACGGC